AATTGGAGCACACCCTCCGGTCCCCCTTTTTGAACAGGGGGACCACCACCCCAGTCTGCCAATCCAAGAGAACTGTCCCCGAAGTCCATGCAATATTGCAGAGTCGCGTGAGCCAATACAACCCTATAACATCCAGAGCCTTAAGGAACTCCGGGCGGATCTCATCCACCCCAGGGGACCTGCCACCGAGGAGCTTTTTGACCACCTCGGCGACCTCGTCCCCAGAGATTGGAGAGCCCGACCCAGAGTCCCCAAGCTCAGTTTCCTCAATGGAAGGCCTGTTGGTGACATTGAGGAGGTCTTCAAGGTATTCCGCCCTCCGGCCCACAACGTCCCGAGTCAAGGTCAGCAGCACACCATCCCCACTATAAACAGTGTTGGTGCTGCACTGCTTCCCCCTCCTGAGACGCCGAAGGGTGGACCAGAATCGTCTTGAAGCCGTACAGAAGTCTTTCTCCATGGCCTCTCCAAACTCCTCTCATGCCCGAATTTTTGCCTCAGCAACCACTCGAGCCGCATGCTGCTTCGCCTGCCGGTACCCATCAGCTGCTTCTGGAGTCCCACAGACCAAAAAGGCCTGATAGGACTTCTTCTTCAGCTTGACAGCATCCCTCACCGAAGGTGTCCACCAACGGGTTTGAGGGTTGCCGCCGCAACAGGCACCGACAACCTTCCGGTCGCAGCTCCGATAAGCTGCCTCAGCAATGGAGGTATGGAACATGGTCCATTCAGACTCAATGTCCCCCACCTCCCCCAGAAATGTTCAAAGTTCTGCCAGAGATGGGAGTTAAAGCTCCTTCTCACAGGAGACTCCGCCAGATGTTCCCAGCAGACCCTCACTACACGTTTGGCCTGCCAGGTCTGACCGGCTTCCTTCCCCACCACCGGAGCCAACTCACCACCAGGTAGTGGTCAGTGGACAGCTCCGCACCTCTCTTCACCCGAGTGTCCAAGACATACGGCCGCAGATCCGATGAAACGATGACAAAATCGATCATCGAACTGCGGCCTAGGGTGTCCTGGTGCCAAGTGCACATATGGATACCCTTATGCCTGAACATGGTGTTCGTTATCTGTATCAAGCACAGAAGTCCAACAACAGAACACCACTCGAGTTCAGATCGGGGGGCTGTTCCTCCCAACCACGCCCCTCCAGGTCTCACTGTCATTGCCCACGTGAGTGTAGAAGTCCCCCAGTAGAACAAGGGAGTCCCCAGGAGGAGCACCCTCCAGTACCCCCTCTAAGGACTCCAAGAAGGGTGGGTAATCTGAACTGTTGTTTGGCCCGTGAGCACAAACAGTCAGGACCCGTCCCCCACCCGTAGGCGTAGGGAGGCTACCCTCTCATTCACCAGGGTAAACTCCAATGTACAGGCGCCGAGATGGGGGGCAACGAGTATGCCCACTCCTGCCTGGCGCCTCTCACAACTCCAGAGTGGAAGTACGTCCAGCCCCTCTCAAGGAGACTGGTTCCAGAACCAGAGCCATGCATCAAGGCGAGACCGACTATTTCTAGCTGGAACCTCTCAGCCTCAAACACCAGCTCCGGCTGGTGCTGGATGTGGAAGTGACGTTCCACATCCCAAGAGTCAGCTTCTGCAACTGAGGATCGGACCGCCAGGGTCCCCTCTCTCGGCTACCGCCCGTAACACACTGCGCCCGACCCCTTTGGCCCCTCCGACAGGTGGTGAGCCCATAGGAAGGGGGACCCACATCTCCTCTTTGGGCTGAGCCTGGCCGGGCTGGTAAAAGCCCGGCCACCAGGCGCTCGCCATTGTGCCCCACCTCCAGGCCTGGCTCCAGAGTGGGGCCCCGGTGACCCGCGTCCGGGCGAGGGAACACCAAGTCCGAAGTTTGTGCACATCATAGGGGTCTTCGGGCTGCACTTTGTCTGGTCCCTCACTTAGGACCTGTCTGCCTTGGGTGACCCTACCAGGGGCATAAAGCCCCAGACAGCATAGCTCCTAGGATCATTGAGACACTCAAACCCCTCCACCACGATAAGGTGGCAACCCAAGTCCAGGGTTGCCACCTTGGACTTGGATATTTCCAAAATGCTGGTTTTGGAAATATCCAAAACCAGCGTTTGGATATTTCATATCCACGTAATGGGGAAAGGCTCATGTAAATGACAGAAACAATATTTTCTACCACAACAACACCCAATTCCAGCAGCTAGATGAAAAAAACATACATGGATGCTAAACACAGATAACCAGAGAAACACAAAGCAGTGAATGTTCAAGAAGTTACCTTTCAAGTTTAAAGCTCAAACTCTGCTCTTCCCAACAGTATCAGTGATCTGCATGCAAAAGTCGCTGAACCAGCAGCTGGCGAAGAGGAAAGACGAAGCTCATTTCATGAAGCCCAAAACATAAAGAGTCCTACCTTTCCTGTTTTAGGGTTTTATTCCAGGTTGCAGAAAATATTTCTACTCGGCTCCTGTAATTCATGGATTCAATTTAGACAATGTAATCCATTGTCTAAATTTTGGCATTTTAAAGACCAACATAAAAAAAACCCACGATTATTAAATACAAAATAACACATCCAGGAAGAAGAAACACGTTTTCAATATCAAACTTTCCATAAAATAATACTTAGGTAATGTGTACCTGTCAGAACAGGGTCATGTAATTACAACATGTCCTGTTTTCTGTGTCTTATTGATCTACAAACAACACAAAAGGCTCAGCAGACAGAAAATGACACCACAACAAAGCTGGTATAAAGACAAGAGGTCTCACTTCAACATAAACTGTATTGTGTCTAATATTTTTTGGTTAAAATGTGTTTGTTCTTTCTTCATCAAAGTTACTTTATTGGATAGAGTATAAAGAAATTGTTCTCAAGTAAGAGTAGTAATAGTTCATAATATTACTCAATGCAGAGCAGGAAAACTGAGTCTAGTTACAACTCACCTCTGAACACAGAAAACAACATTAGTAATCTTTTTAACAAGCTTAATGTGATACATTATATACCAGTCAGGTAATCCACCAACATTACCTGACTTATTTAATTGGAAGAAACTGTGAAAAAGTTTTTTACCTTTTGCTGGCTGGTTGCTGGTCGCTGACCCACAGGTGTAAACCGCCGTTAGCGCGCGCGCATGCTCACAATGCGTTTAAAGATGGCTCTGGAAACATGTCACAGCATCTTAACAGCGGTTTGGGGAACCGGGAGCCCAGATACAGACCAAACGGCAGACGTTACACCTGTCTGACTCCACCCACTGGCACTGCGAGGAACCTGCAGCTGAGTTTCACCGTTTCAGGTGTTCTCAACATCAAAACGCTGCAGTTTCTGCCTCTGAGCTTCTCTGTGTTTCTCAACAGGGCTCGCCTGGTCTGAAGGGCCACGGCGGCTATCCTGGAGACGTAGGCTCTCATGTAAGTACGGATCTGCTCTGACACTATGCTGCTTTCAAAGACTGCTGTTTTTTTGGTTTAAATAAACTGTTCAGTTTGACGGCTCACCCGGTTTGGCTGCTGCAGGGCAGACGAGGGCCTCCCGGGCCTCCAGGGCCTCAGGGCACCCAGGGATGTCCGGGAACCAGAGGACCGAAGGTACGGCGGGAAAAAGCTGCAGCAACCTGGGAAACTCTCTGCTGATTTAGGGTTTAATTATTAAAGTATTCACACCCGTTCTCTTTTTAGCACAACTTGAACATAAGAACAGACTCTCCCAGCGTCCAATCAGATCGTTGTTTTTTTGAAACAGAAATTTATGTCTTTGTCGTCCATTGCTGTTGTTTACAGGCGTTGCTGTGCGTCAGACTTACAGGTGTACCAGAAACAATGGAGGCACGGGAGTTTTGCATGTAAAAAAAAAAGAAGTGCTTAATTGGGCCAAAATCTGTGGAATTAAAGTCTCAGGCTTAGTTGGAAGTTTTATGGAGTTTCAGACATAAAACAACAGCTAATTGTTGACTAAATAAGACTGTAAGCTTTTTAAAATGTGAACTGTGTTCATATTAACACAGCCTTCCTGGGGCTGAGAAACTGACAGCTTTGTGGTGTTTACACTGCATGAAGGACCCAGCACTGTTCAAGTTTAAATGTGGTCAGAATAAATTAGACTTTGGTTTGTGAAAACTAAAACTGAGTCCAGCTCCTTTCCTTGGGCTGCCAACAAAGAGCTGGGTGAAAGAAAAACTTAACGGAGCCAAAAACAAGCAGCTTGTTTGCTCACTGGGCCCACAGCTAAAACCATCAAGATTTCTTCCCACAAACCCTTCAGAGTTTTAGATTATATTGGGAGTGGCAATAGCACTAATTTATTATAATCTATTATTTTTACAGATTATATTGATATGTGCTGTTCTGGGAAAAATAAATGAGCCATTTTCCCCTATTGACATGAAATTAGACAATCGTAAAACTTAGCTTGACATCAATAGATTAGCACTAGATGTTAAATTAACTAAGTGGAAATTGAAAAGAAATTGCTGAGGAAATGACATTAAGTCTGGAAGTTTATTTATAAGGATTTAGGTACAATTTACTATCCACTTTTACTTTCCTTTATATCCTAAGAATTAGTTTTTGGATCTGTTTATATATATACACAGCAGCTAAATTTTTGTCACGTTTTTGTATTGTTGCTAACAAATTATTTGATGACTGACTGAATAGATTAACAATTAATCAAAACAATCCCTTAGCAGCATCAATGCTAGCGCAGCTCCTAGCTACATCGCGCTAGCATGCTAATACGCTAGCAGCAGTTAGCATCGTTTCCTTGAGCACACGGCATCGTTCTGAAGCAGCTCAAAACATAAATGCAAAGGGACTTACCTTTTATATGCTTCTTAAGGTCTGTTGCTGGTTAATAGCTGAGCATTAACCACTTCATTACACAGATCTACTCTCTTATTGTCCCACTTCTGCTCCGATGTCCGCCATTTTATTTACACCAGAATTTATGCAACATTCAAGTCACGTCGTAAAAATGTAAACGGTCTGTTTTAGTCTGCTTAAAAACTAGTTTTTGTATGAAATGTGTTTTACATTTTAAATTTCAAAAACAAATTCTCATTTCAAAGAACAGATTTATCATATTCAGTTGAAACGGCGCTGCCATATGTATTTCAGAGTTAACCTACTTACATAGGAATGTATTAATTTAAACAGTTTTCTGGTATGTGGAGATGTGAGTTAAACATTTAGCTTTGTGCAGCTGCTCCCAGTTTCCTGCTTATTCATTGCTCTTTGAGCGAGCATTGTTCTTATGGATGTCTTGTTTCCTTTGGCAGGGATCTCACAGCTTCTCTGGAGACAGGGTGAGACACTGAGCTCTGCTGGAATCAGTGAAACGATGCATTTGGCGTTTATAACAATTCATAGAGTGCATGTAAAGTGTAGGATTTGGGGATGGCTGACTGTTTCTCTGCTGCAGGGTGAAGATGGAGAAGATGGACTGAGTGGAGTGGATGGAGAGCAGGTAGGAAATTATATTTCTCCATAAATTCAAACTTTATTTGTTTATTCATTCATAAATTAACTTATTTTACTAATTAAAGTCGTGTAGAGATACACAGGGATATATTTCATGTTTTTATTTATGTTAATTTGGTGATTATATCTCACTTCTAACACAAATCCTTAAATTAGTTTCTTATACATTCAGGATATGACATCAGACCAATGAATAAATGAGACCTTTATGCCACTGACACCTTCTGTTGGCTGTTTAATAAATATCATTTGCCATTAGCAAATGATATTAATGCCACCTTTGAGTAGCAGTAACACACTGTCACTAGTAGTTTTGCCCTCCAGCAGGAAGCTGGGGGTGGGATCTTGGTGTGTGACGTCACGCTGCAGCGTGTCGATAGCAGCTTCACTTCAGAGACAGATCAGGATAACCTATCAGCTAACTGTCAGCTTTATCAGAGGAAAGTTTTCAGCCTCGTCTTAAAAGTAGACGCAGCGTCTGCTTCCGGGACTAAAACTTCCAGTCCTCTCATGAAGTTAACCTGTCCTAAAACAATGAGTGTCAGGATGGCGACAAGCATGGCTCTTTAGTTGTTCTGTTTTGAAACCACAGTGTACTGAAGGTGGCGCTGTGTGTGACCTGAAAGGGAGATGATTTCAGATGTTATCTGTCAGTCCTGAACTCCTGCTGCAGCAAAGCCAGAAACTGTTGATGTGATGCTGCAGCAGCAAGATGGAGGTCTTCCTGCCGTAAACTCAGCTTTCTTCTTCTTCTTCGTAGGGAAAGGAGGGGGTGGATGGGATGAAAGGACAGAAAGGAGATCCTGGGAGCCAGGTAAAAACCCATGATGTCCATTTAAATGTTTTTACTCTCCAACCACAGCTGTACAGTCTGACATTTCAGGCCTCAGATTCTGAGAAGCCTTTTGTTGATTATGGGCTCTACAGACTAACCTGTCATCTTCAGGGAATCCCAGGGATCAGAGGCGAGGAAGGACTGAAAGGAGACCGAGGCCTGAGAGGAGATCCGGTAAGTTTCCTGCTGGTTTCTTCTGCTGGTGCTAAATATGAAGCCTCATTCCCACTCTGCCTCCTGCAGCCGCGTGTCGCTGTTATCAGTCCGGATCAGCAGCAGCCCAGATATTTACTCTGTCGGTGGGAGTTGATCCGGCGCCACAACAAGCAGCTCAGAGTCCAGCAGTGCAGTCAGAAAATGTTTGGCCTGAAGCCAAAACTAAACATCATGACCTTCACTGCACCAACAAAATCAGTGAAAATGTGTTTCACTTGGCTTTCTTCCTCTGCTGTCCATTAGCAGTCTATTGGTAGTATTGGCTCGTCCAGGGATGATCCGAGTCCTGCAGCTCTTAACGTCTCCCTGGTCCAACACACCTGAATCCAGCAGCTGAATCTCCTCCTCAGTGCAGTCAGGTTCTGCTAACGAACTCATTATTTGACTCAGGTGTGTTGAAGTTGAGACATCTAAAGGTTGCAGGAGGCCCTCCAGGCCTGGAGCTGCCCCCCCCCCCCCCCGGCGGGGGCGAAACATACAAAGGGCGTCCAACCCCCTACAATATTTTTTTTTT